AAGCTTCAACGACAACAAGACAACTTGAAAGACGAGGTGACACATTTGAATCTTAAATTAAAATCAGTTCTTCAACATACTACTCAACTTGAGATCATGATGAAAGCCATGATGAAACACCATGGAGTGTCGGTTGAGGACGAACAGAAGGGAGAAGACGACGAGTAACTCTTCGTGACTCCGAATGAATTCCGATCCGTGCCGACTTCAGTCCGAAAGAATCACGACTGAATATAGATTTAAACTTATTGAGCGAGATCAAAAACCTTGGGATACTGAATTAACGGCAGCTAAAACACGATCAAACTCGACTAAAGTACGATGGAATCCGACTTTTTTCCGATCACTGCCGACCTAAACACGATTCGACTCGGGTACCTGTCGATTTGAAGACCAAATTATGATGACAAAGAATCTTCACAAATATTGACAAACTCCAATTACACACCTGACCCGAAACTGAAATAATGCATAAAAAATCCAACTTTACAAATATTTATTTCTGTAATTTATTAGAGCAGATTTCGTATGAGTGGGAAACGGACGGTACTGTACTGTGACCGTAATCGTACTGTAACCAAATTCTAGTGCCCCATTGGTTCACCAAAAATGTGAAGGCCAGGTCCGGTAACCGTGCGGTAACCGTGCGGTAACGGTGACCCACTCATACGAAATCCGCTCTATCAAGTGTCGAACATTTGAATGTGCATAAAAAGACAAAATTCACAAAGTATAAAACTTACATATTTATTGCTTCACTGACTCACTATTTTTTTTACAAATGAGAATTAATCTTGAAAAAAAAACATTAATTAATTAATTGATGATAATAAGAATTATCATTATCATTCTATTATTAATATTTTTTGTAACAGAATTATTAGTTATTATCGTGACAAATGAAAACAATTATTATTGGTAAATAGAAATATAATTCGTGAAGAAATACTGCATGGGATTATCGAACAACAATCTAGGCCACTTTGTGCAACCTTAGTAGCAATTTAGTAGCAATAACTTTTAAAGAGGACTTCCTTGGACAGACAGACCGTCAACCAGGACTTCGAGATTTTTCAGTTCTTCTTGGTTTAAATCAAGTGGGCGTTCAAAGACTACTTTACTGGATCATAAATTAAAAATTTTTACAAAATAGTTGAAATCGAATCGAAAAGCTGTTGGAATGCTTGTCGATACATTAATCCAAGATCAAAACCTTCTCTGATTACAAGATAGTTCACGATGTTTTCATGAAAATTGGGTATCTCTTTGACTTGTAAGAACATTTGCTTGTATTTCTTATCTACTTCGTAATCAATTTCTTTATTTGATGATAGCTCCGTTAAACGCGATTCTATTTGTTTCTTCATTGACAAAACATCATTATTGCTGCCCTTGACAAGAATATTTTCAGTGAACTCAACTGCGCTTGTCAGACCCGCCAATTGCATCTCAAGACCATCCTGTTGTAAAGAGAGTTCCTTTATTTTCGTTGCCGTCATGTTTGTGGACTCTTGTTTAAGCTTTGCTCGCTTCTCTTCCAGAATTGCAATTTTTACGTCGATTTTCTCATCTATCTCTTTCTTGATWTTTTTCTCATTTTTTCTCACTTTTTCTTGCATATGTTTCACTGTCTTCAAAGCTGTTTCAATCTTTTTCTTTGTTCCACATACATGTTGCATTTTCTTTTGAAGTTGTCCTTTTTGCTTCTCTACAACATCTGCGATGAATGCAAACTTATGATCTTTGTGGTCRATCAGGGTGCAATCTTTACAAATYARTGTCTCGCATTGTTCACAGAAAAGCTTCAGCTTTTTGCCCTTGTGTTTGTCACACAGTACTGCTTCTACTTTTTGGTCCTCAGTTTTAGACTGCTCGAGGAGTGCGATGTTTCTATTGACCCAAATGTTGACTTTGAGTGAGTTAACGTTCTCAATCTGTACAATAACAAATAATATTTTGCATGTCAAACATGGCGAACGATAAAACTGACTTTAATATTCTGCCTGAGATACATTACAATGATTCTTTAGATACTTTATCATTATAGAATTTCACTCATTTATTTACACAAAAAAGCTTTTTTCTCAATGAAGTACCTGAAAAGT